GCTGTTCCTGTTAAGCTACTGCTTTTTTTTTTTTTTTTTTTTTCTTTTCTTAATTCCCATTGGGAAAACAGCAGCTATTTTAATTTGGGCTTCACATGGATACATGGCAAATACCATACAGGTATCTGCCCGACCCTCCAGCCACAATCCATCTTACCGGGGATGGGAAGACAAAGGGCAGTGCCACCCAGCTGTGTCTACAGCAGAAAAAACCTATTGACATGATGGGATTCCTCCTCACAGGCCCCTCTCAAACCCCAGTGAGAAACCAGCAGCCTAACGGAAAGGAAACTCCAGCATGGGACATTTCCTGGGCTTTATGAATTCATTAGAAAATTGCTCAGCACTATAATAAATGCATCCAGAGCTTTGATATTTTGCACATCAGGAGGTAAAACAGTAGCTGTGCACAGATCCCCTGTACAAGGATTTTTGCCTTGAGTGCTGCGGCAGCAGATGGCCTAATAAACAAGCAGTGCTCTAAAAGGACGTGTAATTTGTGTGAACTTAGTTTTTTGGTCTCCCATGCAGATAAAACGCACAATCATCCAATAATAAACTTTTTAATAGATAAAAACCCTAAGCAGTGTAATGTAATCATCATTTGAAGTACGCTAGCACTACTGGTGCAGTAAGAGTTGTGCTCAGAGCCCACCTGGTTTTCCTTATGAGAAGTACTTTGCTGTGGCTGTCCCCGGTCAGTGCAGAGGCACTGCCCGTATCTCTTCTCTGGCGTTGGTCAGGGAAGGACATCTGTGAGGAGTGGGACAAGGACACGCTGTCAGTCTCCAGGAACACTCCAGCCACACTAAAAAAGTAAAATTGCTTTTTAGTGAATGGCCCTTGATAGTGTTTTTCCTAGGTTGTTTTGCCAACACATACCTTCCAAACCTGTCTGTTCTTCAAAACTCCTGCCAAAAGAACGTGATAACGAAGTAAAAAGCCTGAGATCTGCTGAAGAGGCCACAGCTGCAGGGATGGGTGACCCAACTCTCTGGCTTCAGCAAAATGTTCAGCCCCTCTGCAGCCACGCTGGATCATTGTGCCTGATGGCCAGGAGCTATCACCAGCTGTTCAGGTGTCAACATCTCGTTTTCTCTTCCAGTGAGGAGGGTACTTCTGTGCAGAGAGGTTTTAGGGCACCAGCACAGGGGCTGCATGAGCAGAAGGACATATCTGGGTCGCATTTTGACAGAACTAGAAAACCAACCTTTATCACAAGCACAATGTTGGTGCCCTTTGAGCAAAAAAAGAGGTGGAACTGCTAGAGAGCCATGCTCAGCTGGGGCACCTGGTGTTTGCATTGGCCGTGAACTCACCTCCAGAACTGTCCCTCAGCTCTCCAGCATCCGCAGCCTGGATCCACTCCCATCTGCCATGCACACTGGATGGCACAAACTTAGAAAGGGATTTAAAGCATCACAAGGTTGTTGATTCACTACTGATTTACCTCAGGAACCTTCATAATAATTCTCACCATGTAGGTGTAATGTCCACAGATTATTTTTCCTCTTAAAAACTGTCAAGCTTGGAAACAGAACTGCTTTTAGAGTGGCATGAGAAGAACAAAATCCTGCTCAGGTCTTCGCATGGTGGGCTGCTGCAGGTGACCCCTTGGGAGCTCACGGCTGTTTCTGGGGTTTCATCCAGGGCATTTGTGCGGGTTCTAACGCCTGCAGCAGGATGCCAAAACATCACAGCCAGATCTGCCTGTACGGCTGCTAACAAGCAAGTTAAACACCAAATAAGAAAAAATTCCAAGCGTTGTTGTTACACTTACATACTCTCATGGGTACTGTGAAGCCAAGCTTTCAGTTTATCTGGGAACTGAATTTAAATAGTTTTTTTCAAGGTGCCAAAAAAGGTGGCAGACAAGGATGCCAAGTTACTATAGTAACCATGAGAAAAGCAGTGATTATCAGCAATACCACATAGAAAAGAGAGAGTGGATTGTCTTTTCTTTTTACACGTAGCCCATTGCTTAAGAAACTAAACCCTTCTCTAAAATAGAAAAATGCCACGGAAAAATAGCTTGAAAGTGAAGCGCATTATGCAAAATTATTTTCAAGCATTTTTCAGCCTTTGCAACCTTGCCAATTGACCCATGGTTTAGAGGATGTGCCCCTAAACAGCATGCTTTATGGCTGAAGGAGAGATGAACGATAAAGCATGACTTTCCATCTTTTCTTACCTAGCAACCACCGCAGCAGAGGGCAAAAATCAATATCGATATCCTACTGTAAGGTCCTTAGGACAGAGTATGTTCTTTGTTTGGCATAATGAGGCTCCCATGTACACACAGCACTTGGGTACAAGTGACAATACTGCAAGATCAAAGGTTACAAAGTCCTAGCAGCTGCTTGGAGGGATCCGTGCTGGTGCTCACAGGTAACAGGTTGTCTGTGAGCTGCAACTCCACGGTGCTGCAGCCCACAGAGATGTAATGTCTGAAACCTGGTTATTTGGCTGGGCTTTGGAGAAAACCCAGATGGACCTAGGGCAGAAAGAATAAGAGAAACGAGGAGAATCATTCCACCAACATAGAAACACACTGCTCTAGGCTGTAGCTAAAAAGTCTTTTAAAGATTTCTTTCTTTCTCCTGAACTGTCTGAAAGCTTGTTGACAGTGGTTTTTAGCAACTGGAAACAGAGCAGAGATGTCTGTCACACCTCACGTGTGTAAGGAACACAGAAAGGCCTGAGAGACCAATTGATTGATTTGTGATTTGCTGACTCCAGCAGCTCTACCAAGCTATCTTCAGTTCCTCTGTTTTCAATGCACATCTAAGAAACATTAAAGAAGCCTTACTAAAATTTATCGCATTTCAAAATTTCCCTCGTCAAAAATTGTAACAGATACTGGGTCTGTAGAAATAAATCCCTGCAGACAGTTTCATTAACCTGAAGCTTTATGCCCAGACACAGCCCCATTTACCTGTTGGAACGCACGCTCCAGTGAGAGCTGTGTGATTCTCGCAGACTAAACCATCGCACGTGACTGCTAGGAGCAAATCTCTGTGTTCTTCATCACTTGCTACAAATGCTGGCTTTGACAAATTGGCTAAACAAAAAGCACGCTGCGCGCCAGCAGTGCTTTAGTTCTAGGTTCACAGGATGATGATTAAGAAAAACGTTGTGAGCAAAACTCACAGTCCTTGTAGCTAAGCCTTTCGTGCCGCTCCACTCACAGCTGTTGTTCCCAGCATTACAGCAATCAATCCCCACGGATGTTGAAGACATAAAGCTGCTAACCAGAACACAAAGGGCAAGGATCCCAAACTGCTGATTTTGAAAAGCAGGACTTACCTGTAAAATACTACTGTGCTAATGACAGGAAACCAGCGGGTATGGGACTTGCCCATGAACCTGCCTGGAACAACACTCGCCCTGAACCTTAGTGTCGCTCCCCGCCTGCCTCATTATCGCACTGAAGGTGGGGATAAGAGTGTGGAGTCTCCAAGGTCTCCCTTTTGTCCAAGCTTTGGATGTCCACTGGCACACTTTGAGATGTGACATATCAGGGATTGCCTGCTGCGAGGCCAGGACAAGTCTATCTACCCGGACAGGCACTGGCCAGGAACCCCCTGGACCTTTGCAGACTTCTGACTCGTGAACAGCACACACCTGTTTCCAGCCAGTTTTTTGTTGTTTTTTTCTTTTTTCCCCCAAAGTGAGCAGTTATCCCAGTAGGGTCAGTGACCCAGTCTGCATGCACAGTGGTGTCTTTGGACACCCAAACCCCACTTACATGGGGCTATGTAAGGAAAATTAATAATGCCTTTTAAATAGCGCTTACCACAGATACAGGGAGCACAGTGCTGATCGCTAAATGATGCTAAAAAGGCAGTGGTTAGATATGCACAAGCATGTACAAGCCAGCATCTGATTTTTGAAGGTCAAAATTATGATCTCATTGAACTTTTAAACTGATTATGGCATTAGCAAGAACAAGTACAAATCTTTCTGGGAGAAGCAGGCTAAGGCAGGGTAAGTAAATTATCTCAACACAGTATCTGTCCTCCTATGGATTTCAGTGCTACTCGAATCACTTTGTGATGATATGTTTGTACCTGCCACAGAAGCCAAATACACAATCTGATCTTATGCCAAATCACTATTAACAACCACATTTTCAATTGATTCTAGGATATTCATTAACTGGAATCCATAATTACATATAATTTACAGACATACCATTTTAAATCACTTGCCAGTGAGCTTACTAAGCTCACTTTATGACATTCAAATACATTATTCTTAAAAATTCACTGAGTAATCAGCTTGCAAATAATTACAGCGGAATAGCACTAGATATAATCAAGTAGATGCTTAGAACAAGAATCACCAGCCATGCCTGTAGATCATTTTGCCATGTGACTTTGACATTCCCCTCCACTGTCTCCAGAAAATTGTTATGTACCGAACTGGTGGAGTGCAAAGCTGTTCCACTAACCCAACTCCACTAGAACAGCACTCCTTAGACTTGTTTCATGGGCAAGCCCTGCCTGACACCTTTTCTTCAATACCAGGCAGCTGATTTTTAAGTTATTAACTTACCCTTTAAGCAAGTGTCTTCTTGGTTGTGGGGTGGGACACCAGAGGCAAGCAGCACTACACAGTATTGCAGCATCTCCCTTGCTCTGGGGTGGGAAATGTTGGGCGCTGCTTGGAGACAAGCAGCACCCATGGCAATGCAGAAACATCAGGATCAGGTCACCTGGCTGTTAGAGCAGACGAAGCTCAGCAGGTCTCCATGTGTAGTACTTTATTCATTTCATATGCTGATTTTATTTTCGAAGGCTGCGTGCGGTCTGGTTTATATCTGTAGTCTTTCTCACTGAACAACAGGGATATTTTATGTACTGTAGAAAAAAAGTTTGCAGTGATGCAGGCAATTTAAATCGCTAAGTTGGAACTTTAGGACCCTCAATGACAACTGCACTGAAACCCAATATAGATGGGTTAAATAAATTCCATTCTTTTATTGCAAGGTGTAAGGGAAAAACTAATACAAACAGTAAGACTTGGACTCTGACCAGAGCTTCCCATATGAACCACATACACACCTTCTTGCCTTAAATGAAACAAGGCTCCAATTTTTGAGTGTTGAAGGACTGACGTTTCAGTCTTATGTTAAATTACATCAGTAAAGCAGACAGTAGCTGATAATCTTAAAGCCTGCCATATTTACTCTGTTGTGGTTTAGATTTATAAACTGCTCATGCACACACCTTAAAGTGCATTGCACTGTACACACTGTCCCACCCTACAGCTCTGACATCATCACCTTACTGTAATATGCAACAGTAGAAAACTTCTTGAAGATGAGGAAAATACTGCTTTATCTAAAAGGAGAGAGTGAGCCTATGAAATGGAGGCCTTTGAACAACATACTGTCTATCTGTATAAAGAACAAGACAGCTCAGAACCAATTAAAAATACACAGTAAGTAATAATTTTTTTTTCTTATTGACTAAAACCATAAATTACAGATAAACACCGAAAACCTTCTTGATTAAACTTCATTTGTTTCCATATAGAACTTTTGAATATTGGAAATAAATCAGACTAACAAATACATGTCTTAGTCACAAGGAACTTTTATGTTATGTGATTTTGCACTGCATTACAACTTAATACAAAACTATAAAAATAAGACACTATTTACAAAATATATTCATTCATATGCAGAACTATTGGTTAGTTCAAGTTTTAAGTTACATGATAAATGATACATATCAGTCACACTTTACAAACAGTTAAAAGATAAACATCCTCTGAATACAAAATGATATCCTCTCATGATCTGACTATGCCAATTCATAGTACTTCCCAGAATTTGGATCAAAGTAACAGTTCAGACATGGATCATACAAAAGAGTCAAAACTTCCTCATCTTCTTCAGCATTGAGGTCATCTTCACCTGTGTCAAATGAGAAAAGTAAGAACAAATCACTCAGACAATAACATGGAAATATCTTTCTGTCAGATGTGACATTTAAAGCGTATAATCTTTTGACTTCTGAATTGTTACCTTCAAGATAATAGCAATTCACCTTTTCATTATATTTCTGAAGACTTGTATTTAGTTGTCAGTCAGAGTTTGCCTAACAACCAAACTTTACAAAAAAGTCGAATGGAGCAGTTCACCAGAAGTACCTTTACTGATAGTGGATCAAAGTATCCCTAAGTGATATTTTTCTCAATGACATTAAACAAAAAAAGTTTTAGTATGAACAAAGGCAGCCAGTGTGTACTTAAGGCCTGTGAGAATGAAAGAATTTGAGTATCTGGTAACCAACATTACCTAAATGTCCAGTATATGTAAATCTGTACAAAAGAACTTTCAGTATCAGAGAAGAAATAAAATTCTTTTAGACAATAAAAATTTTAAAACTAGGTTGCCTAAAGTTATTTAAAATGCAAGAATGTATTCAGGTACCAGAAATGAATCCTTAGCCTAAAATACACCAATAAAGACATACAGACTATTACAGATGCTTTATATATTGTAGTTCCTTTTCTAAACCTGTCTGTCTTTCATATATGCTAAATCTAAGTTATGTGACCTATAGCTTTTTGATAGGAAATAATTCAACAGTTGAACACAATCTGTATCTTGAATTTCATCATAAATGTTCATCTCATTCTCAGACTGCTAATACAAACCAAATGCTTTATATGTCCTAACACTTCATAATAAGTAATGGCCTGTTATGCTAACTGCAGCAGTTTCACAACGCTCAGAATCTATTTACAGCCCGGATCACAGAACGATATATAGGTTACATTATCTAGAGACCAGAAAGTAGGTTAGTGCATTTAATGCATACAGAAGAAGGGTGCACTTTATCGTTTGGGAAGAGATTTCATTTTTGTGTCCTCAGTAGCATTAACAAAGGAAGTAGCATTACAAAGAAACTCTCTTACTGTAACCACGGGTAAAAAGGTAAAGCTAAATTGTTGCTCTCCTTGCTGTGGGTACTTCATCAGGCCTGGTAAGCTGAGGGAGGGTAACTGAGATATTGCGTTTGGACAATTCTGGGAAAAACGATGCATTGCAGAAAGAAGGTGTAGAACTGAATGTCTTTTTCTACGCTTCAGATCACAGTAAACAAGCAAATGGTATTTGTGCCTCATCCCCTCACATAGCCTCACATTTTCACCTGAAACCATATTGTTATTTCCACTGAATTCATCCTTTTATTATTTTGCTTCCTCCTGCCTATGCTTCTCTTCAAAATTATTCTCTTTTCTTCTCTAAGCTTAAATCTCATTCCCTCTCTACCTCAGAACTGGCCTCTCAATATACTCCCCGGTTTGATTTAGGAATAAGAAATTCTTCAGACTCTTCAGGCGTGTACCTCTTTCCCTGTATGCCTGGAATTCACACCAAATCAGAATTAGATTGGATCCAGGACTAGCTGGATTTATATATTTATAGCAATAATTCCCTGAGCAAATTTTTATGTGAACAAGAAGAGAGCCTAGTTTTCCAAATGTATCTTATTTTTAAAGTTAGGCTTCTTTCTTTTAGCATCTCACAATATCCCCAAATGTATTTTAAGGCATGTCAAGATGTTGCAACAGATTTCCAATGGCAGCATGGAGTATTTGGTTTTGAATGGATTAAAAGCCATGGAAATCCCATTTCTGTTGTTCTACTTCCTAAAAAGAAGTACTAACCAAATTAAATGACATTCTTCTGTAAGACTCAACTTTCTACTTTCAAATGGTACATTGTGTGCAACCTGACCATATGCAGGAATGAAGTGTCCATGGCCAAATTAATTTCTTTCAAAGAAAATTTCCATAGCTGTTTATGCTGCCACCATTCACTTTTGGGTTGAAGCTGCTCAGGATTGCATGAAAAAACCTCCTGGCAGTTTAATTTGAATATCATGGTGAAAGCAAAATCAAAGCTTTTGTTCCTAGATCACTATAAAATTAAACAGTATTTTAGGCTAGAAAATAACTTGATTTAAAATGAAAACTGAAACCTGTGACATACAATATAGAGGCCTGAGTATTTTTCAGTTCTGAGCTGAAAGAAGACTGAAGATAGTTAGCGTTTCTGGATACCTGTCATATTAAATGAAATGCTGCCCCACTGAAATCAGGGGAGCTATTGTTTTTATGAAGAAAGGTTTTTACTCAATGTGTCTAAACCTGGATAACAAAGAATGGAGGAAGCATGCAGCAGCTTTTTCTGAACTCTGAAATAAAAAATGTACAAGTAACTGTGGTGTTACTTGGGTTATGTTAACACTGTTTACCAGACTGTCACCAGAGTCTGGAGAACTAAAATAGTTTCCCTTTTCAAAGAAGTATATTTTCACTGTATTCTAGGTTTTAATATTAGAAAATAGCTTGTAGCAAATCTCACTTTAAGATATATGGATCATATTCTGACCCTGACGTAAGGCAGCTGCATTGGATCAGCTGTCAGCAGAAGGGATGCTGAAAAAACCACTGCTAGTATTTTCTCTGATATGATCCTTGAACAATGAAGTACAGTGCCCAAATCTACACTGTAATTATGTACTGCAGGGTTACCACATGACTATTGTCAACAGTTGTACTCTGAGAAAGAAGATTCTTCCTTGGTGTGGTTCCTAGAGCACTATTTTAAGACAACCAACTGATACAATAAAGTAAGTTCCAGAGAATTTATGACTCTGCCTTTGTCAGTTACTGTGAAAACTTACTTGTATGACTTGTTATGTCAAGGTAAATGAAATTGCCTATAAATCAGAAGTATCAGTGTCCAATACGGGAAAAATCTACGGAAATTTATCATATTTATGAGTCTAAGTGTTCCTCTTGATTGTCTTGTGAAACCTGTTAAATAGAAGGCTACTTCTCATTACATCTCCCTATTTACCTAGGTACTACGAATAGTGCAAACGTTAAGAATTGAACTAAAGAGTTCAATTTCATTTCTTAGAAATGAATCACCTTTTTTTTCCCCCAAAGTTATGCCCCAACTTAAAGACTTTGTTCTAAATATAAGAATTAAATGATTTTTATAAATGTTCAAATACTATCTATTTTTCTTTAAGGATACTCTTAGATAACATTACTATCTTGAATACATTATGACTCACTGCAGATTTGCAGTACTGATAATATGCCTTTGTAATTCGCTGATACCTGGAACACTGGTACACTGCACACACACACAAAATAATCTTGTCACGCTTAAGTCACTTCCCAACATGAGAAATAACTCGTTTTCTAATGTGATATCTAAAAAAAAAAGTGAGTAGGGCAGCTGAATTTTCAGGAATGAATTTGAGCGTTCCGTTTGTTGATCAGATCAGATCTGGTACTTGTCAGTTATAAAAGAGTTATTTCACCACCAAAAAAAAAAAAAAGCTATAGTATATACAGATTGTCTGTTCCCCAAATGTGCAGAGACACATGATGTAAAATATTTCAGCATAAAGGAAAATGAGTTTTGGAACAATTCACAAAAGTGAAATTCTAGTGTGAATCACAGAAGAAATCCAACAAATTCCCAAATATACTTCTTTTTTTTGAAGCTAATAATCCAATTTTTAAAATTTACAGGAATTTAGCCTTACTGCAGCAAGGCTTGGATTTCATAATACTAACATAAAAAAATTCTCAGAGACCTATCACAAATTTATATCCAACATGCTTTTAACTCAAGGACTATCGTCCAAGTCTCTCTAGCTTACTTAGGACTCTTAACAAAACATATTATTCTTCAAAGCAAGGTCCCTTCCTGACAGCAAAATTCTATTCTGCTGTCATAAACAATTACAAATATACATCTATGAAAACATTCCCAATTTGAGGGGCATAATCTATTTTAGGCAGTAAATCACTGAGACATCTTCATCCTTCGGGCAGCCAAAATACACAGGTCAGATTTATGGCATTTCACACTGAATTCCCCAAACTTGAAGAAAAATGTAGATATCTACCCTGTTTACTAGGACAATTGATAAGAACAAAGGGCATTTGAATAAAAGAAAGTATTTGTTTTATTCTTTTGTTGTTGACTTCTCAGTTTCAGCTAAGTTTGTTGCCATTTTCTAAGCAAACACCATTAATAAAAACTTGTAGCACTTAAGGTGGTGACAACAGTCTTTACTCAGGATATCACATTGAGATTTCATTTATGGCTAAATCTGAAAATTTTTTTCATGTAAGAGAACACTTAGTAAGTGTAATTGTGCTTCTGAATGTTTAGTCTTTGTGTTCTCTCTTTCATAGGTTTGCCATCCCCACTAGCATAACTTCCTTATTTTAAACAAATAAGATGCATTTTTTATGAGTTAATTTGTATTGAGCCAGAACACTACGAAACTGAAACTGCACAAATTATTCTTCTGTCAGAGGCAAATAACATTGTGTGGAAAACTCTGTTAGTTTGAGCTGAGAATAATAAATAAGACAGCTTGGAACCAAAATGTAGCAGCATAGAAAACTACTGTATAAAAGGCAGCACTGGCACTACAGAATCAGCATTTAGAAAAGTCTTTCTACCCAGGTCCTTATCATTGCCTTCATAAATTCCTACCTGGAATACTCTGATTTGCTGAAGATTTATTGTGTTCTTCCAGTTGTTGGCTTCCAGGAATGATGGGAGGACTGAATGCGTTCAGCCAGTCCCTGAAAAATACAAATCAAAATATCATTCACAAAAGCACAGTTTGTATTCCTATTTGTTCTCATTCTTTTGATTATTTAAAAAAGAAAAAAAATCAAAGGGAATTGCAAGTTTTTGACTGTAATGAAACAAAATCAAGCTGGATTTTATTATTATAAAAATAAACTTTACAATCAATATGATTAATTAAATGTTAAGGCTTCCTTCCCTCCCTTAGCCTTTTCACCTGTTCTGTTCACACTAAAAATCTGTGTTTTAAGCTAGGTTTGCTTTGTAGATTTCAGCTGGTATTGCTCTCTCAGCAAAACGTGTACATGAGGTGTGTTCCATAACCCACAGAGCTGTACTTTGAAAGCCTATGGGACTCACAAGAGGTTTTTTCTGAGGAATAAAGACTTAGGATGAACAACTTGTATTTGACAAGAGACCGTGGGGGTCAATTTGATTAAAAATCCCTACCCTCTCAAGGCTTAAAGACAACCACAAAAGATATGCCTGGTTACTGCTGGAGCCCCCTGAAATAGCGTGACATAGCAAGTGGGGTATCCTTTACAGTCTGGGTGGCTGGTGAGGTAGAGCTGAGCATAAAAAGAGATGGATGCCACCAACAGCCACTGTATAGCCTTGCCAGTAGCTAAAAGCATTATGCTCAATAACAATTTTTTTATTTTTAGCTTATAAAATTTTATAACAATAAAAAATTGTTGTAAACAATTGTTTATAATGTATTTACCTAACAAAGCTTTTTTCCAATATCAACATCTATTATCAACAAAAACATCCTGACTCAATCCAATCTTTCCAATGTCTGCCACCAACAGTGTGATACCAACTCAGTGCTCATTAACTTTTCATCACAGCTGTCACATATCTATTTTGCTTCTGCAAAGAAAAAAAATTTGATGGGATCTTTATCATAGAGGAGGGAGTATGGACCTTCTTCACCCATTCAATTTAATAGGCAATTTATGTCTCTCCTGAACACTACTTTGTGATAGCTTTTAAAAATGACTTTCACATTATCATACATTCATGCAAAGTTCAATGTTCATTTCACATACACCACTTTATGACGCACTGTCTTTGATTGTTAAAGCTCAAAGAAAACACAACAGTTGTTTTTATTGTTATTTTTACTGCTTTTTATTGCAAACTGAACTGCAGATTTGTTCACTGAAAAATTCACTCATACTATACTATCAATCAGAGAAAGACAGCCCTGGAAGGATACATCTAATTCACAGAGTTAAGAAATTCCTTGTGCAGGTGACCACATCATGTAATTCTTTTCATATATGAAACTAATCAAACAAATCTCTGTACACTGTGAACAGCTGATGTTTCCCATCTCTCCTCTTCAACAACAAAGAGCTATAACACGTTAAAGCTTCCATATAACCATTAGCTAGACAAAATAATTGCAAGTTAATGCTTGCACACAGAATTCAAGGGACCTCAGTAAATCATTTCGTTTTAATAGAACTAGATCCGACCTTTTTGACCACCCTATTTCAATGCAAAGGAAAGGGAATGGAAAGGAAAAGGGCTCTTTAAATTCCCTTACCTTTGCTTCATGCTGATGGGAACAGTGCAGCTCTACAGAGTAAATGAACTTGGGTTGGGGTTGATATAAAGTATGTCCAGCCATGGCTGTTCCAACAGCTGGCACAAAACCATTATGCATGCAAACTTGTGTGCGAGGCCAGGGAGATTAGCCAGAGCTGTAGAGGTAACTTCAACATCCATGGCTTCCTCTAGAAGGGATGAACTTTTCCAAAGCTTGACAAATTTCTATACATTGCCAGACTATAATTGTCTCAACTCAATTGTCCAACACCAAGTAAACAGGTAATGTACTTCTACTTTCTGAAAAGCCTTGATGATCTCATGTAAGATTTGCTTCTGACAGAGAAATCTGGCAAGGCTCAGTCATGTGTTATAATTGCTAAAATATGCCAATTGCTTTTTTTTTTGTTTGTTAGTTTTTCTGCTACTTCTGGACTTGGTATTGATTCCACATCATCTCCTGTTGGCGTGTACACATAATCTGGGGTGAATCAGGGGACAACCACCTATCTGTTTGCAGTCAAAAAGGAAAAAACTAATTTTCTGCCTCAGGAAACAGAACTGCTGGTGTAGAAATCCAGCAAGTGGTATAGTAGATTTAAAGGAAGAGATATTGAATTTTCCATCATTTCAACATGTAAAAAACATACTTCAAAATTTTTTTACGCCATCATATTATTTTCACATAAATAGCCACTTTCAAAACCAATCCTTCTCCTCTTCTGCTGTTCAGCTAATGCCAGTGAGAATTGGTACAACTAATCCACACACCACTGTGCTTGCCTAGACAACTCATTATTAGCACACTCTGTTTTTACTCATCATATTTGCATTCCCTCAATGCAGCCAAAGACTCTTTGTTTACACCAAAGCTTCAAAAGTTTTTAGGAATAACAGTTAAATGCATGCTATGATACCCAGTGGCACGGAAGAATGTATTTTCCATTTCTGCTACGTGCATGTGTGGTTTGTGCTGCCTCAGAATCAGCCAACGTAAGCCTGAGAGTAGGATCTGACCACGCTCATAGGATGGGGTCAGAGAGCACGAAGCATTATCACTTGCCAGATTGTCTACAATGGCTCTGAAACACAATGTCAGCAAAGGCAATCTCTTGGAGAAACTGTGGCAATTTTAGAGAAGGTAAGGAAGAACTATTGGTGCTAACCTAGATCTCTGCTTCCCAAGCTACTCTTGCTTCCAAATTCACTACAGCTTTTTTAAAAGGCAGTGATGTTTGAGATCAAGAACAACTAGAAAATTTCTGCTAGGAAGATTGCTGAAGCAAACATGGTGCAAGGACTGAGGAAAGACAGTGCTTGCTTCTAAAGAGAATTATCTCTGTCAGACCAACAAATGCAGTTGGAAAAGTAAAGAAGCTTTAGAGTATATATGCAGTTCTACACATCTGGCATAAACCAGAAGAGTTTAGAGAGATGTGTTTTTCACGTAAAATATGTATCAGAGAATTTCTGAAGAAAATAATTACTACCTGGAAAGCAGAAAGGATGTTAGTAAGAAGGAAAGAAAGATAAGGCAATTACCTCCAATGGAAAAGAAAGAGACAATTCATTTAGAGAACATCAAGGGAGCAAGGTAATCGTGTATCATTAAACCAGTGTATCTGTTAAATTAATAGTTCTTATTACTCAGGAAATTTATGAATTTTATTTTGAAGCTTCATCTCTGGAAGGTCTTCCTCAGAGACCAAGTCTGAAACAAGTAATCAAAACACTACAGTATTAGGGATTCATTGTTGACTTAATGCTACTTTTAAGGCCAAAACATTTCACACAATACATATTAAAAACTGGTTTATTACTTCCACAAGTTAGTTAGCAATGTCTAAATCAACTTTTCCTAAAATCTTGAAAAAAATTTTTTTAAAATCTCATGTGTGTTGAAATCTTCTTGGCCAAATTACTGGCAGTTAATTGATAAAGTTCTGAGAAGCGGGTTTGCAGTAGTAATTCTTATAGATGCTGTGGCCTAGCAGTCAAGACAGATTTTTCCACAACGAAATCTACAGTTACTTTTAGGAAGCAACTAAAGCATATGTGTGTATGAGACAGAGTGTGTGAGTTAATGTTAAAAAACCTAAAATTAAAAAAACAACAAAAAACATGAACATATTTTAGACCTTGCCTAAAAGTAGAGCCCAGCATGGAGACAACTAGCAACATTCTGGGACATGCACACTGTGGCCTGTATTCCCATTTACTGTGTTTGACTGAATAAAGAATATTTTTTGGGGGGGAACTTCTTTAAGAAGCTACTTTATCTTCTTAAAACAGAAAAGCTAATCCCACATTCTGTCTAATTCTGTCTAATGAAAGACACTCTATTTTTGCTATCAATGCCTCCAGCTGTAATCAATACAATCAATATGCAATAAACCATCTAGAGCTTTCCTGATAACAATGTGAAATGCTAATTATTGTCTTTTGACATTGTGAGTTGCGTGGTACGAAGGCTCAGAATAGAATCCACACATGTTCAAAGTATCATGCACCGTTAATGCTCATTATTGTAGAAGCTATTCTCCATATGAAAATATAATTCAAAATGTTATATAATCTTGTTATACTACGGTCTTTTCTTAAAAAGATACTTTCAGAAAACAATTGACATACATTGAAATATCACAATAGCTGAACTGGGATAGAAAGCAAAAGAATGTTTTGGACTTATAAACATTGTTTTCAGTGTTTTGACACTAAGTTAAGTTTTGCAGAAAATGGCATCCATCAATAAAATCTGTTGAAAAAATTAGTGTTGTTATTAAGTAGCACTTATCAATGAAAATGTATCAAAATTATTACCACTAACAGAAATCCAAAGAATCAGAGGGTTTTGATTTAAATCTTAATGAACACTTTTGATACTCTGATTTTTTACAGATATTTTTGCTTATTAGTCTATCCTACTGGCTGGACTGAAAAAAATGGCAGATCACTTAGCATAAAGTTTTTAACATTGCTGTGAACTGAGATAGCATACTTCATTGCATTTCTTTTGGATCAGATTTAATTTGTATTACTTAAATCAATGGGATCAATTAATCCACATTATTAACACAATTAAAATGCTTCCAAGTTTTTGTATGGTTTTGTCCAACAATCTACACAGGAATTAAAAGGAATACTCAAATTATTCAGTCAGCCTGACAGTATACTTAAGAAATGCAAGGCAAGGACTACACTATATTAAATCAGGGAATGAAAAAACATCAGTTTTGTATCATTAAGAATACATCAAATTGACAGACTATTAAGCATCTGAAGAGTACAATCAATGAAGAACACACAAGATGATATTTAACTGCATAAACTACTTAGTAAATCTTTATGAATACAAGAGGAGAACTGGCTCTTGCCTGAGTGATAATAAGAGGAGCACATTTGCTGAATTATTTTTTACAATGGATAATTTGACTAA